TTAAAAATAATTTTTTATCATTATTTAGTATAATTTTATATATTATTTAAATAATTAATTCATTTTATTTTTTAATTTGTAATATTAAGTTCATTCTCTTATTTGATAATATATAAAAATTATATAAAAGGTATATATAAAAATATTATCTTTATATTATTATCCATTAAAAATAATTTATTTTTTAAATATATTAAAAGCTAACTTTTTAGTATTATAAAAGTTTGAATTTTTAATTTTAAAATTAAATTTTTTGTTTGAACATTAGATTTTTTAAAAAATTTACTCTAATAATAAATAGTAATTAAACCAAATTCTTATTAGCGACGGCCAAAATATCACAAAGACAAATGATAGGGATGATGAAAGTTTAGGAGAAAAAATTAAGATGAATAATCATGATATAAATTATATTATTGAATTAATTTACATATATAACATTATGAATTTAAATAATAAAAAATTTAACTATTAAATACTATAAATTTTATTTTTTAATATTTTAAATAATATAATTTATGTCTCATTAATAATTTTAAAATTTAATTTAAAATTTTAATTTCATTTATTATTATTCTATTATAAATGCATTTTTATTTAATCGTTAAAAAAAAAATCAGTTTCCCGATCCTACGGCAGCGCTGACATGTTAGTATTATTCATCCCATAAGCATGAGAAAATGATCTGGGGGAACAGGGATTAATGTTTTTTTAACTCTCTTCCTCTCTTCACGTGCTTGGTTGAACTTTAATTTCTTTTAGAGCAATGTTATAGGTATAAATTTTTTTTATTATTTTTTTATATAATTTTTATATATTATTAAATAAGTGAATGAATTTAATATTATAAAATTTACATAAATAAAAAAATAAATTATATAAATAACACGTTTGATTATAAAAAAATAATATAAAAAAATTATCACAAAATTATTTTTCTTTCTTTTTAATCCACATTCTTACCTCGTGATAATAAAAAAGTTTACACCAAATAAAAATTTACATGGCAGACATGATAGATACTAAGAATATAATTTTATAGTAATATTATAATTATAATATTATATAAAATTATATATTTATAATTATAATGTAATATTAAACCAAACATTCAAATTTAATGATTCATTTTTAAATTTTAAAACGTCTGAATTTATTACTCGAAGTTTCAATTTTCATTAATGCCTTAAAAAAATTCATTTTCTCATTGCTCAAAAAAAATATTAAATTAATATATATTATACTATAAATAAATTTTAAATAAAATTTTTTAATATAATAATAGATTTTCTT